ACCTCTATCTTTCTCTTTCTTTTAATCCGTTGTTCGCGTAATTTTCGTATTAAATTTACTCGCGTTATTATGATATTATTTCGAAGAGCGTAATCGTCTTGTGTTCGTCTATTTAATTTTGCAATAAACGACAAACGGGCGCGCGACAAGTGTAGTGCGCCACAGATCTCTCAACCTTTCTTGGTGTTCCAGATCAACCAGCGATTTTCAACCGATTAACCAGCGATTCTCAACCGATTTTATCGTATATAATACTCTACATTCTCACGGTAAGCCTGTTCTGTACTAATTCGTCGAGCACGGCCTTAACATTCAATTCAGACACGGCAAAACGGGCGATCTATTAAGCCTTCGGGTTATAAGAGTCTCTTCATTTTAGATCGTCTCGTTTCTACAGTCAGGTACCGATTATACTATTTTTCGCTATTTTAATATTCCGAATTTTTTTCAATCATCGCGAATACATGTGAGTGACGATTGTTTCGACTGCGAGGTATTTTACCAGGGCCGACCTGTAAAGCCCTTCCGGGGGTTATAAGAGTCTCTTCATTCAGGTCGTTTCCTTGCGGATAAAAACCGCCTAAAGTTTGGTTTTTCATTATATCCGGTCGAGGCAGTCGTCCTACGTTAACCATATATTTCTCACATTTCAAATACGTGTAATAATTACAATAGAAGCTCTCATTGTAAACCAAAGGTTAGACGTTTTTCCGATTTTCATTTATATTATTAACGTACAATAGGTTAAGCATCTTTACCCTTGTTCAAACAGTATTGTTATCAATTGAATTTACTTAACAGTGATTAAAAGAAATCAAATAGAATCATTTTAGTATTCAAACAATAGTCATTGCAAAATTCAGTTCTGTTAGCTTCAATAGTTATTTTTGAATTAAATTACGTTCTTTTTGCACACTAAATTGCATTCACATTTCTTTCAAGTTCCATTTTGTATCATCTCCTTTATCATTTTGCATTTTAAATCCACGCATACCAACACAAGATTTCAAGGAGGGACCCGTATGGGACCCAGAGCACTGGCGAACCCAACGGAAATAAACACTATCTAATTTTCCGTCTTTTAATTTCGTTCTGACCGTAGAGGACGCTTCCGCGTCATACGCGGTCAGAACTGGTGGCAGCGATACCTTTCTCATCGCCCAAAAGTAAGAATAATTTCATTCACATTCATTATTATTCTCTTTTTTTCTTTTACGTTGCGCGCTCACACAACGCGCAACGTAACACTTCTAATCTCAACATAAGTTGGTTTCAATGACCCTTTAATATGTTTTCGGGGGCATGATGCAGAAGAACTTTTTTATTATGCATAATCAACTGATAGCTTTAGTTTCCGAGATATTCGTGAAAAACTATTGTTACTACTACATTGAATTCTACGTATGCCTACGTGTATTCTACCGTCTACTCTGGCGGTGTATGGGTCAGAATGCAGTCGCCTATTCTTTACTGTTTCTATACATATGTCGCATCGACCGAAAACCAGTATACAGGTATGTTTCGATTAATGCTAGTTCACATAGTACGATATTCAATTTAGTGCGAATTTTATAATGATACCAGGTCGCATTTAATGCAAACAAAAATTCAAGTAATGCTAGGCTTGCGGGACTTTTTTGATCCAGACATGGATCGAAGCATGCAAGTTAACAGATACTTGGATAAAATACTGCGGGTTTATCATCACATAAATGGAGATATGAAAAGGCGGAAGAAAGTGCAATCAACAGTGTTAAAATGCTTTGAAAAATAATAAACATGTTTATGCTATTGTAACGTCCCGGAATTATTATCGCGAGTACGCTACTGCACCGACGCGTAGGGAGAGCGGCTCCCTATAAGAAGGCGACTCGTAATAATATAATGAAGGGATCATAGGTTCGGGTGGCACGCGGTAATGAAGTGAAATCCAACGTTAATTCCTTTCTCAAAAATATGTAGTGAGTATGTTTATTCAAGAAAATATGATGTGTTTGTTTATAATATATATATATAAAAAGGTAAGTAACTATTTGAATTATATAAAAATGTAAGTAATATAAAATGTAATGAAAATAATATAAAGATTTATCGTAATTGATGTATGTACAAATGTTGCGCCCTGCTCTTGAAATACAAAAGATAATAATTAAATTAATTAAGTACAGTGAGTACGCCCTAGATTAGAAAATACAAAGGAAAGTAACAATGAAAGAAAATTCAGATTATTAGTTACAAAATAATTCGTCCTAAAATAAAATACAAAGGAAAATAAATTAATTAGTGACGCGACTCTAGATACGATTATCAAAACTCTAAATTTATCACTTGAATTTATAAAATAATATTATTTAAATAAATGGATCGATTGTCGGAAATTTGGTGAGGATCCGTTCCGACACTGTAGGAGTTAACTCGTTCGGCCGCAGTACGATTTCTGGGCAACTTAGCCGTCACTGATAGGCCGCATCCAAGGAGCTTCTGCTTTCGCTCGATCGTTAAGGGCACAGACTCCTTGTGCCATGACCTGTATGCGTGCACTCACACAATCAACGGAAAGCATGCACGTATACGCCATGCGTGAAAGAGACACTCGATTTCGTAGATTTCGTTTTTCGTCTCGATAATTGCACAAATGAAATTTTCGCGAGTATAGCACCCATGGGTAGACTTCACCACAGGGTGGTCTGGTCCGTTTGAACACTAATAAACACCATACGTTGAGAAAAATGATATTTTCGACACTGTAAGATTGAGACAGACGCTGTTGTAAGCAAACAACATGGCTGCCGAATGCTGCGTTCGGCTGCATTTTAGCAAATATTGGACGATTTAATGGTTTTTTCACCCATAGCACACCAGACCACCCTTCCTTGAACTAGCACAATGTCACTAAAATTCGATTTTTCACAATTTATCACTTCTGGAAGACGTAAAACGAAATTTACGATTTGCACGCATCAGACGTCAAATAGGCGGAAGAATAGTTCACTGATTTTCCGTCAGAGGCATTGATGGTATATTTGACCACGTTATCATCGGGGTCGATAAAAACAGAAATCAGTCGATAAATGTAAATTCTAATTTGACACCACAAACAGCTACGCGAATATAGTCAGAAGTATGGCATAGTTGCCGCAACGTATTAAGACTTCTATCACGTTGTTGCCACATCTGTTACAATTGCAACAGGCTCGAGCCGATTTTGATTCCTGCCAGACATAGAAAAGAATAGGGCGTTCGAGAGAGAAAGAGGTTCGAGAATGAAACAATACATGTACTAATGTGTGCAACCATCAAACTTTTTTATTCATATTTATAATCATGTTTTTTTCATCAATTAAATTACAGATGGAATACTTGAAATGGTATGCCAGAAAAATGAATTATAAAACTTGCACCATATACAGTGAAAACTCGATAAATGTACATAATTATTGCCGGTCCACTCCGCAACTGTTATGGAATAGGAGAATCATTTTTCAAATTTGATTGCCTAGTCAGTAAACACTGATTAGAAAGAGTCAGTAGCTAAAGACGAAAGAGGGACTAAAACCGGGATTTATTGCCTTCATTTAAATGCCCCGTGTCAATGTGACCATACTAATGCACAGAATAAAGTTTTTTATTTTGTACTTTTTATTAATAAAAATTTCACTATCATGTGGAGAAGATTTTTCTGATTAAAATGAAGCTAAACACAATATAAATCGGTCAACATTTAATAGCATAATATTGGGTTAAATGTTGTGCTTGTGAGTCTTTCTCTCTTTGTTTATCCTTCTTGCGCTATCCTTTTCTATGTTCGGAAACATCAAAGAACGACGGATTCGTGGTGCTGGTAGGGGTAGAATGAATGAAATAATACACATAACGTAAGTACGCGGCCATAAGACTTCGCATGGAAATTTATCCAGAGTGTTTGTAGTTGATCCGAAAGCGGATCATCCCAGTTTAAGTTTGAAAGCCATAATGATTGCATGAAGATTTTTGCCAGAGTGACCACCGGAGCTAAAAGACCCAAGGGGTCGTAGAGACCCTCTATCTCGCTAAATACCATTCTTTTAGTGACAAATTGAGTATCTGACCGTGGCCGAGTAGAAAACAAAAAGCAGTACGAGGCAGTGTTCCATTTCAGACCCAGAAGTGATGAGACACTGTCGAAGTTACATGATCGGTCGGAAGAGGAGGCGACATAATCCGCTGGCAGCTTGCTTAAAAGTTCAGAATTGTTTGAAGTCCATTTCCGCAGTTTGAAGCCGCCCGCCCTCAACAACTCGATTAATTGTTGCTGAAGCTGACTGGCCTCTTCCAGATTATCTGACACCGAAATTACGTCATCAACGTAAACGTCGTTTCGGAGGCATTGAGCTGCCAGTGGATATGCCTCCTCTTCGTCCCTACTCAGTTGTTTGAGCGTCCGAATTGCAAGATATGGAGCGCACGCAGTCCCGTAAGTTACTGTTAAAAGACGATAGCTTGTTACCGGTTGATTAGCGTTGCTTCTCCAAACGATTCTCTGGTAATCACAGTCCTTCTCATCCACCCGAATTTGGCGGTACATTTTTTCAACGTCCGCTGAGAAAGCTATGGCGTGCTTGCGCCATTTTAAGAGTATAGAGAAGATTTCGGGAAGAAGATTGGGACCTGTGTGAACCAGGTCGTTTAAAGAAACACCCGTTGAAGTTTTAAGCGACGCGTTAAAGACTACTCTCAGTTTTGTAGTTGAACTTGATTCTCGTAGCACGCCGTGATGCGGCAGATAATAGGCTGATTTTTGAATTTTTATCGGTTCAGGGATGCGCTCCATGTGACCGAGGTCTTCGTATTCAGACAAGAAATCGCAATAGGCTTTTTGAAGATCGACATCGCGTTGAAAGCGTTTTTCAAGTTTTGAGAGGAGAGCTCTTGCGGCTTCCTTGCTTTCGCCTAGTTCCGAAGGCGAAGATTTAAAAGGTAAACAAACGACATACCTTCCAGATTTTTCTCGCCTATGTGTTTTTACAAAGTGATCCTCACACATTTTTTCCTCCTCGGTTAACAGATTAGATTTTGAGGGAATTTCCTCAATTTTCCAAAAGCGAGTAAGCGTCTTAACCAGATCCGATTCTCGCATGAAACACTGCAACGAGATAGCTAGATTAGTATTGTTGTTTGAGTTGGTAGAGTGCCTTAACGGCCCAGTTAAAATCCACCCAAGTGAGGTGGCTTGAGCAATTGGAGTGTTAGGTGGGCCTTGTTTTAGGCCCGCTCTTATTATTTGAGCGTAAATATCCGCTCCCAAGATTAGATTAATATGCCGCGAAGAAAGAAAGTTAGGGTCGGCCAGTTCTAATCCCTCCAAATGAGCTAGTGTGGAAGGACACGAAGATTTCGCCGCTTGGTAGGACGATAGTTTTGGAAGAACGTATGCCGAGAGGCGATACGATATAGTTTGGTCCACGCGAGAAAATATGCGAAGAGAGACCCTACCTTTCGTGTAAGTTTGCGTCTTTCCGACGCCAATAACCGGAATTTTATCAAGTACCCGCTTTAGATTTAGAATCTGAGCCACGCTCTCCTCCATCAAAGAAACCTCTGAGCAAGGATCGATTAAAGCTCTCACTACCACTCTCCTTCCCTGGTCGGACACTAGCATTAGTTCCGCGGTAGCAAGTATGACCGATACAGCGGAGGTTACGGAGCAGGAAGTCATTGCGCAATGTGTAACCTTTTCAAAAATTGAAGCGGATGGCTCCTGTTGCGGATCGTCGATCGTCTCGCGACTCGAGTCTGGCACCTGTTTGGAAAGAGAAGAGCGAGCAGCAGAAGATTGTTCAAAAGTAGAATGAAGAGAGGTATGATGCTTACCAACGCAAACTTGGCACCGCTTAGTAGACTTACAAGCTTGTGAAGAGTGTGGAACCAAACAATTATAACACAGTCGCTTTTCTGTTACCAGTTGCTTTCTCTCACGCGGATTCATCCCCTTGAAGGTCGGGCAAAACAGAATGAAGTGGTCCTTTTGACAAATGAGGCACTTTCGAGATCCTTCTCCAGCGGTGTGCGTCGCGTGCGCCTTGAGACGAAGCGTGGAGTTGACGGACGTCCTCTTCCCTTGCTTCTGAGCTTCGATTGGGTTCGTAGTCGTTGCTGATGAACCGGATGCTCCTTCCACAGCTTCCAAGGCTCGCAGTTTTGAGGTGAGAAACGTCGTTAATTGTGCAAGCGTTGGAGGATCTAATGTTGATCCAATGGCTGTTTCCCATCCCATTCTTGTTTTGGAATCCAGTTTTTCGGCGGTTATGAAGACGAGCCAGTCATCCCAGTGTTGGACTGGTCGCTTCATGGCCTCCAGAGCTTGGACGGCGTCCGTTGTGCCGTGAAGAAGTTCTTTCAGGTCTCGCGACGATTCTCTTTTCATCGGAGGAAGTGCCGTTATGGATGCCAGTTGAGAGGTAATCAGGACTCGTAAGTTTTGATAGCGTTGCGTAATTGAGTTCCAAGCCCGTTCAAAGTTATCACCGGTCATCGGTATATTTTGCAGTAATTGAGCTGGCTCACCAGATAAGCTTATTTTCAGATAATGTAGCTTTTCGACGAGAGAGAGAGCGTCATTATCAATGATTAAAGATTGAAATAGATCGCGAAAGTTCGACCAGCTGTTGTAATCACCGGAAAAGCTAGGCAGCGTGATTTTAGGTAAAGACCGGAGAGTTGAAGTTCCATGAGATGATTCGGTCTTACCTGCAGAGTTTTCGGCTAGCTTTTCCTTCAATTGATCCAGCAATATTGCCTTTTGTTGAACGTACGCCTCTTCGCCAGCGCCCATGTAGTCCTTTTTGAAATACGGACTGTCCTTTTCGGTTGCTGCAAACGCGTCAAGGAGTTGATCGTGCGTCTCGGAAAATGTATTCCAGTTTCTTTCCAAGAGCTCCAAGCGAGATTTAACCACTCCTTTGGTTATTTTAGCTGCACCCAGATTTTTCATATTTTCCACCGTCGCACAGTGTCACGGATCGCCAATCTAGCTGGACAAAAGTCATTTTAGTGACTATCACAGAATTTTGTAATTTTCACTAGAGGTTGTTGAAAAAGGTCTAGAACCAGGAAAATTACGCTTATAAATTAATTTCACGAAGTATAATGACCGTGACACCTATCCAAAGTTAGCGATTCTATAGGTCTATTTTATAGGCTGACGTAAGCCTAAATTATGTATTACAAGAAATGTTGTGTGTTAAAGTCTATTAATCGAATAATGTTGTATTTTTTGTCAAATATTATTCACAAAAGACTGTATTTTCAGATGTAATAATAGAATGTTTTATTATTTTTCAATAAATTTATTTTTTACTGTCTTACTTTTATGAAAATAATTTCTATACCGTTAAAAGAAAATGAATTTACGTAGATCTACAAAATGCGGTTGATGCTGGTTGGTATTATTTGTTGTAGTAATGTATTCTATGATTCATTAGCTACAAGATCTTATCAATTTTAGGTGCCGAGAGGTGCCGTACGTAAAAATATTTCAATTTTTATTAAGCGGTGTGGTTGCTCCGTGAAACACATGAACCTCAGCGGAACGCTCGCCACTTGCATTTAGGGAATAGGAGCACGTTTGACAATGTATATGTATACATGTGTATTCCAATAATATCAATTGTATATATAAAGAAATAAACAATGACAAGTTTCATACAGTCTACGTTCATATTTTTTAACGGATTTTTTCAGTCTAGCAGTGAACAGCGTGCAATAATATTCTCTTGTGTGGTTTCTCGTTTTCATTATTATAAAGTTTTTTCTTTTTGTTTTTATTATCCTATTTTTATAAATATCATGGGTACCAACGGTAAGTTTACACATGTATATTCTATACATATTATATTATATTTTGTATATTCTATATAATCGTACATATATACAGTACTGTAGAATGTATCATGTATTGTAGTAATATATACCCAAAAGTCGTATAGTATTTCAAAAATATCAAGTAATCATTATTTAATCTATTGTAGCATGGATTATTTCTCGAAGAGATCTCTTTGAGATTTGGAGACACGAGGAAGATTTATCGAAAAGACGGGAAAATGTTTTGAAGTACATTTTAAATGTTTTGGGGGAAATATCTGAACAAAATAGTGTAGATTTAATCAAGAAAAGTGTTAAATCCTTGTGTTCTCAGTTAGTTAGCAAGTGGAAGTTAAATAAACGCACATACCATGCATTTTTAAGGAATGAAGAGAAATGGTTACGTGGAAATATTAATTTTGCAGATCTAATTGTTAATACATCAAGCACGTCTGGATCAGCAGTAGAACCTACAACACTTGTTGGTCGTCCTACAAAAAATTTTGAAGACAGCAGTGAAAAAAGTAAAAAACGAAAAGTTCAAAATATTTTAGATATGGCGTCTAGTGAAGAATTATGTTTTGCGGCGGAAATCAGCTTGCGTAAAAAAGGAAAAAGAGATGCAGCTACGATTTTGAAAAAAATTACGACTTCTCCAGAAGGAGTCAGCAAAGTAAAAAAAAATTACAATTTACCACAAAAAGAAATAATACCATATACTCCTGAGGAAGCACTAGCATTATACGTAGATGCAAAAATGACGTCCCATCAATATCGTTTAATATATTCGCAAGCAAAGCAAAGAAACGCAAAGATATATCCTAGTTATTTTAAGGTAGCACAAGCTAAAAAAAATTGCTATCCGCGCAAAGAATCAATCACCATCACAGAGACTACAGCAGAAATAGAATTACAGGCTCTTTTGGATCATACATGCACACGTTTAATTCTAGCACATCAAGAAATACTTAATAACATTGAAACCGAAGAAACATTAACGTTATTTTATAAATGGGGATGCGATGGTAGTTCGGGCCATAGCATCTACAAGCAAAAAATTAATACTGCAGACATCAATTTTCGCGAGGACAATGATTTATTTCTTGTTTCAATGGTTCCGTTAAAGTTAACAGATGGAATACAAATCGTTTGGAAAAATCCTCAACCATCATCCACACGATACTGCAGACCAATAAAATTAATATTCGCAAAAGAATCTGTAGAATTAATTAACACGGAAAAAATGAAAATTGACAATCAAATAGAAAACTTAGTCCCAACAATAATTAAAATCGGAGAAATACGTATTATAATACAACATCGTTTATTATTTACAATGGTGGACACAAAAATCTGCAACAGTTTAACTGGAACTGCATCTCAAAGATGCTACATATGTGGTGCTACGCCAAAAATGATGAATGCAATAAACATGAAACAAGCATCAGAAAATGCAGATGTTTCGAAATATGAATTTGGATTATCTGTATTACATACATGGATTAGATGCTTCGAGTGTCTACTCCATGTGTCATATCGACTGGATGTTAAGAAATGGCAAATCAGGAATGAGAATGAGAAAGAAATAGTTAATAATAGAAAAACAGAAATTCAAAAACAATTTCGAATACGTATGGGGTTAATCGTGGATCGCACAAAACAAGGCAGCGGAAACACAAATGATGGGAACACGGCTAGACGTTTCTTTGCTGATCCAGATACATCCGCAGACATAACAGGAATTAATAAAGACTTAATAAATAGATTTGCGATTATTTTACGTGCAATTTCAAGCGGATGTGAAATTAATATAAGTGCATTTAGCGATTACACGAAAGAAACAGCAGAACTGTATATTAAATATTATTCGTGGTACTGCATGCCCGTCTCAGTGCACAAATTGCTATTACATGGTGCCGAAATTATAAATTCTGCACTGCTACCTATGGGCCAGCTTTCAGAAGAGGCACAAGAAGCGAGGCATAAAGATTGCAGAAGATTCCGTAGTAACCACAGCAGGAAATCTTCACGGGAAAACACAATGACTGACCTAATCCATATGTTATTAATAACGTCAGATCCAGCAGTTACAAAACATAGAAAGAAATATTTTACAAGCAATAGAACATCGGATATCTCACATCTCTTAAAAGAATCATTACCGGCAATCAGTAGTGACTCGGAAGCAGATGTTTCAAATGCTTCGGATAATGAGTAGTTTATAAACAATGATATCGTAAGTACATAACAAAAATATCTTTTAATTAACTATTGCATGCATACATTACGAACCACCCGTGATCAATATTTTATTACTCAGTTATGAATAGTTCAAAGTATATTGTATAATTATCAAAAATAGAATAATTTTTATAAAAGTGTGATTACTATTCATATTTGATATGATTCCAAGTATATTAACTGATAAATAAAGTACATTCCGTTCATTTCGAATTTTGTCCAGCTAGATTGGCGATCCGTCACACTGTGCGTCGATGAAATACGTTTGAACAAATCGAGCTGCTTTGTAACGAACTTCTCCACTGTTTCAGGGCAAAAAATATACACAGGTGAGCGACGAGTTTATGCCAGGTGTTTATCTCCACGCGCCCGGTCAAGGACAACCGTTAATTTTTCGCCGTTAATCCGATTAGTTTAAGCCGATTGTAATTAATTGTTGTAATTGGATTGTTGTAAGACTTCACTCACCTCGATTTTTATCCGGCTCGAAGGACCAATGTTTAAGTTTAGATTTTTTAACTGCTATCGGGGTGACTGAAGCTTCCAGTTTTTAGTTTGTAAATGGTTAGTTTATTTAACAGTCACAGAATAAAGTCAGTTTAGTGTAAATGAGTAAGTTTTAGATTAGTTTGCAACCCGTTCTTCTGGTCTGCACTCCGTATCTTTCTGTCTTTTGCTTTCTATTTCGCGATCCTTTCTCTTCCGTTTCTTTCGAATAAATAAGTTAGGAGCACGTAGCTCTTGGTAAGAAAACCAGTGGATCGAGAGAGATAGGTGGTGGGGACAGCAGAGGAGCGAGCGCTTTACAAAGCGGTAATTAGAGAACTATCGGCTGACAGCGATTATAGGTCGATAATTCCAATTCCTAACACATACCGAATCAAAAAGTACACGTTTAAGAAATATGCGCGAACTAGCTAAAAACCTAAGGAAAGAACGTTTCCTCCATGAAGACCACTTTGAATCGGCTATTAATATTTTTGCTGATGTACCGTGTGCAGTGTGTTACAAGACTTTATATCCGCAGCTACGTTACGCTTTCCACACGCAGCCTTCGTCTGGACTAATTCCTGCAAATCTAATGGAATCAAAGAAGATAACATGTTCTCGTTGCCTAAATCATCTCAAAAAACACAAAGTTCCATCAGAGGCATTCTGGGATAAAATGGAACTAATGACTGTACCTCAGGAGATAGCAGATTTATCGGAAATCGAGAAACAAATGTTGTGCAGAATAGTGCCGTTTCTTAAAATCATGAAAATTCAGAATCGCAGATTATTTAGCCTTAACTGAATTATTGCCACATCAATCATTTAATAATAGCCGAGTCAATATTAACGTTGACTATGAAATGTCTGTAAATGGTCACATTTGATATTGATAACGGTGATGATGGGTTTCCAAATTTAAAAATGGTTTGATTACGTTTGTAACGGGGCGGTCGGTTCGGTGCGCACGGCGTTGCATATGCACAGTGTGTATGGAAAAACATAGATATGTTTATTCAAACTATCGTAGACTACGTTGGGGGTACAGTAGCATACAGTCCCGCCTGGCTGGTCGGGTGGTGGTGGATCACTGCCTCGCTAACTACAGTCAGAAGATCGTTTGGTGGTTAGACACGTGGAGCCGTATTCCTTAAAACTATAGTACAGGACTTTTATACCACGGTCGGATCCCGGTCCGTCACAGAAGGTCTCCGCGGAACTTATATCTAACCGGCCTTACATACTACTGCGGTTGCTACCGCCTTACAAACTAAACGAGAGCGGACGCATGCGGGTGTGCGCTGAGCGCAAGCGCGAACGCGAACAAATCAGCGAAAGCGCCGAGACACTATCGTTTGTCGAAATACCGGACGCAAGAGTCGGGAAAAAGGATTGCGGAAACACGCACTACCTTGGTCACCTTGAGCCAACCACGGAGATGATGAGGCTAGGCGCTTACGGCTGCTGGACCTATGAGAACTGCCAGGTCGTGACGTAGTGCAATGCCACGGCCCGACTGCCAGAGATCTCTTCGCCAGGTCACCCATGGCGTCGAGAGCTCTGGTGCTCCGGGCCGGACCTCCTAGGTAGGAGAACTCATCGATCCTCGCATCGATCGGTCCTACTTATAGTCTAATCGCGCGGGAGTGGGGATGTCGCCGCGGTGAGGGCCCGCGATGCGCGACACCGATCCGCGGCTGTCGTCGCACGTTTTGTCAACGGTATATGTACGGAATTCTTACTGCAAATCTTACATCAATAGCCGTATTATGCAGCAACCAGTCGGAGACCACCTGCTATTGGTTGCTTGATTCCCATGCAAGAAATCCAAAAGGATATAAATCATCGTTACGGGGCGCCTCATGCTGTATGAAATTTACTACTGTTGATGTTTTACACGCCACTTTGCGTCGTGATTTGTATGCGAATGATGGCAACAGTAATGTGTTAAATATCTATTCATTAACACCTGTAACAATTGTACCTGAAAGAAATAGATCTTCTTTGGTGGAAAGAATGCAACATCTATCAGTTGTGACCCCACGAAAAGAATCCGACGAAACATGAATTATTTTCGAAACAAGCTTGTTACGTTCGATTGATGAAGGTGTTCCCAATATCGATAATATCGTCTCTGTCAGTAATAATAATAATAACGCAGAAAATGACCCGATGCAACTGGCGAATATACATAGAAAAACAGCGCCCCCTTTAAACAGAGAGAGGGGGAGGAGAATTGAAGAACTGTGTTGGTTCTTCGTGTTTCCGGATGGAAAAAATGGATTCAGAGAGCATCGAAACATCCCAATAATACCATTCGATTACTTCCAAGCACGTATTCTGAGCAATGACAAACGGTTCCAACGAACAGATTATCTGTTCTTCGCAATATGTGTGGTTGAATATTACCGAGCAAAAGCTAGCATTTCAGTGTCATGTAGAATGCGCCAAGGCGAATGTACTCCAGAGGGATTAATAGACAACATACATCTCACGCTGAGAAACATAGGAAGATCGGCATCATACTGGAAACACTGCTGTTCGGAATTAATCCGAAGTCTTGGACCGCCCACATGGTTTGCTACGTTCTCTTGTAATGATCTAAATTGGACAGATATGTTGAAGGGATTACTACTAGCCGAAGGCCAATCAACGACCGAACTTGAAAACCTAACGTCTGCAGATGGACTACAGTTGGTTCAGAGACACCCGGTGGTTATTGCAAGACAATTG